AATTATGTGTATATGTTTGTTTCTGTGTGGGTATGTGCACTGGAGTGAATGTGCTCGTGGTAGCCAGAGGCATTGGTTCCCCTTGGAACTGCAGTTGTGAGCCATATGATATGGATGCTAAGAATTGAACTTGGGTCTCCTGTAAGTGCAGTATGTTCTTAACAGCTGAGCCATCTCTATAAAGCCCCTTATTTCTTTTCTGAAACAAGGTATCCCTTGTAGCCCTGGATGGCCTGGAACTCACTGTGAAGACCAGGCTGGCATTGAATGCAGACACTGGCCTGCTTCTGCCTCCTAGGTGCAGGGATTAAAAGTGTGCACCACCGTGCCTGGCCAACCACTGTGAAAGTTTTAGTCTTTTAATCTTTTTTTTTTGAGACACAGTTTCTTTATGTAGTCAGTCCTGGCTGTCCTGAAACTCGTATGTAGGCCAGGCTGGCCTTGGAATTCACAGCGCTCTGCCTGCCTCTGCCTTCCAATGCTGGGATTAAAAGTATCTGCCACCACTCCCAGCTACCATTCTTCAAACATATAGTCCATTTACTGAGGGCTCTGATACCCTGGGAAACAGTTCTGTGTGATGCATGTTGGCTTTCTGCACTTGATCTCCTGAGGACTAGACTGAGGTCAGAGGAGGACAGTGGGTGCCCTGCCCTATCACTCGCCACCTCATGCCCCTGAGCTCTGATTAAGCCTGGAACTCAGTATTTTTCATCTAGGCAAGTCCCCAGAGATAGCCCACTCCTTTCTAGCACTATCTTTCTAGCACTGAGTTACTATCCCACATGTCATGGCTAGCTTGTGGGTGCTGACCATCCAAACTTGCTTGTGTTCCATCTCCCCAGCCTGGTTTTGGTTTTCTTTGAAAGTATGTAAAAAAGAGATGGGCTTTGTCTTAGGAACTTAAGACTCTAATAGGAGTGATAAGGCAGGTTCATTAAAAAGCCACAAGAGACAATGACAGTTCCCATAAGAAATGTATGGGATAAGGACCTCGAGGAGGGAATGACAACTTTTTTCTGGGAATACAGATGACAATGTTAACTTGTTCTTAAACAATGGGTGGATTTGGATGTAGGGACAGGGTGGATAGGAAGAGTTCACTGGGGAATATCACACATAGTGAAAGCAGCACAGGCAAGTAAAGTCACGTCTGGAGAATGGACAGAATTTAGCCACATGGCTGTTTTGCTGAGGGCACATAATCAGGAATGGTACCTGCTCAACATTGCTCATATCAAGCCAGTCTTGATCTTCCAGCTCTACTGCCATTTCTTCCAAATACACACAACGACTAGGGATGCCATTTCCGCTTTTCAAGCTTGGATCACCTGTGAAACAGTTTTAATCTGATACATTAAGGATAATGTTCCTGTCCTCATGACACTGTTTTTGTTTTTTTGAGATGGGATCTTCCTATGTTGCCAAGGTTGGTCCTCAAATCTTAGGCTCAAGTGGTCCCTCCTGCCTCTGCCTCCTCAGTACTGGAGACCAGAGGTATGTACAACTCTGCTCAGCTACCAACAACTGATCTTGATACACACGTATATCCAGAGCACGGGCTCTTGTGAACTCTCAGTATGACACTTAGGAGAAAAATTCCAGACACCAGCATTAAGTTTAGGGTTGAATTACAGACAGGGCAGAGGTAAAATATGTTTGAACCTCTCAACATCCATAGAAGGAGATGGGGCGAGCTACTCTTTCTACTTCCTTTTTAAGGTAGTACAGACGAGCAGCTTACACAGCTCAGTCAGCACCAACATGGCAACAGAAGTTAGATCTGTTGAAAACTGTTTTTAAGTAATTAAAATAAAACAGGGAGTAGAGGGGTGGTTTTAAACATCAGACATAGCAGTATTCTAAGAGCCCAAGCAGTCCCTAGCCCAAGCCAAGAGAGAAGAACAGACAATCAATCAATGGGTGCAAGTCTGCAACTCACTGTTGTCCAGAGTAATGAGGAAGATCCTTTGGATCATGTGATTGATGTTGAGTTGCTCACATATTTCTTGCTGTGACCGGAAGGAGCGGCTGATCTCAGACACTGAGTAGTCAAATTCATCCAGGCTCTCTGACACACTATTATCCGAGTCATCTGGGCTTGCTGGGAGCTCATCTGCCAGAATGCATAAGTGGTTACATAGTATGTTCCTCCCTCAGAACCGGACACACTACCTAGAATGAAGATAATTCCTAGGACAACTGCAGATGGGACACAGATTATTCATCTTTTTAGTGAGCAACTCAAGCCAGGCAAGTGCAGTGTAGGATTCTGAAATCCTGGCTATAAATCTTGTCTTCTACACAGTAAGCTTTATTATTTCAACTCATAATTGCACCACCTTGCCAAAATTAGCAACATTACCTAACCTGCAAATCTTAGAGGAAAAAGAATTACCAAATAGATCAAATGACTGTAATTATTTTAAATGTATGGCTGTTCCCTAAACAATGCATTTGTTTTGGTAAGTTTGCATGCAGGAATATGTCCTGTAGAAGGGCTCCTTGAACAGTTCCCTACAGATTGCTGCTTAATTCTGCAGTGTTCCAGACTCCTGTGCTCACGTTCATTACCACTGTTTGTGGTTTTCAGCTGCCCCTCCCTGTCTCTGACATTTTGTGTGTGGGCAGTATGTGTCAGTGTACTTGTGGAGGTCAGAGCATAGCCCATAGCAGCCAGTTTCCTCCTCCTTTATGGGTCCTGGGGATTGAACTCAGGCCAGCAGATGAAGTGGCCAGCACCTTTACCTGCTGAGACATCTCATCAGGTTAATTTATTTTTTTATTTTTTATTTTTCCAGACAGGGTTTCTTTGTGTAGCCCTGGCTTCCTACTGGCTTTGTAGGCCAGGCTGGCCTTGAACTCACAGAGATCTGCTTGCCTCTACCTCCTGAGTGCTGGGATTAAAAGCATGCGCTACCACGACCAGCTAGGCTAATCTTTTTAAAGATGCATTTTTAATTTTAAATGCTGTGTATGGATGCATTCTGTGTAGGGGATATGCATGCTGAGCTATCCATTTTTTTAAATGACACATTGGTACCATGCTTTACAACAACTGCCCAGTCACTTATTTTTATATGTATGTTTATGCGCTATGACGTGCATTTGGAGATCACAGAACAACTTTGGGGAGCCCTTTTTCTCCTTCCACTATGTGGGTTCCAAGGATTGAACTCAGGTTATCAGGACCGGAAACAAATGCATTTACCCACTGAGCTATCTTTCCAGCCCCTCAACTGGCTTTTAAGATTTGTTTATTGTCTACATGTATGCCTGCACACCAGCAGAGGGCATCATATCCCATGAGACAGTTTATAGAGGGTTGTGAGACACCATGTGGGTGCTGGGAATTGAACCTCAGACCTCTGAGATCAGCCAGTGCTCTTAACCACAGGGTCATCTCTTTCGCCCCTCAACTAGCTTTAAATGTTTAAATTTATTTTCACTTGTATATAGGTATTTTGCCTGAATGTATGTATATGCAATGTGTGTGTGCACCTTCTAGCTAAAGAGGTCAGAAGAGGGCTTTGAAGCCCCTGGAACTGGAGTTAATGTAAGCTACCATGCGGGTACAGGGAGCAGAATTCAGGTCCTTCTCAAGAGCTCCACACACTCATTAACTGCTAAGTCATCTATCTCTCCAGTCCTGCAAGCCTCTTAACTTATCAACACTAACTTTTTTTTTTCCTGTTAAGTTATTCAGAGACTTTCATTCTATTTATTAGTTCTTGGGGTATTTTGTGTTTTTTGGAACAGTGTCTCCTGTTCTCAAACTCCCTAAAAGGATGATCTAATCCTTCTAATCCCTGACTCTACCACCAATTAGAATCAAAGCACACCACATCTGTTTTTATGTGGTTCTGAGGGTTAAACCCAGTGTTTTGTGCTTGCTAGGCAAGAACTTCACCAACTGAACTATATCCCCAGCCCTGTGTTTTGTTTTTCTGAAAATGTCTATTTTTTTTAAAGATTTATTTATTATGTACACAATGTTCTGTCTGCATGTATGCCTGCATGCCAGAAAAGAGCAACAGATCTCATTACAGACCGTTGTGAGCCACCATGAGGTTTCTGGGTATTGAACACAGGACCTCTTGAAGAACAGCCAGTGCTCTAAACCTCTGAGCCATCTCTCCAGCCTACAACAGTGTCTTATATTGCCCAGCCTTAAACTAACTTGCATAGGGGAAGACGGCCTGAACTCCTGATCCTTTTGCTTGGATTTTAGGTCTGCACTAGCAGGCCCACATCACCTCATTCCTTTTAATAGTTGCATTGTCATGCATTTTTGGTCTTTATTATGACTTATGTAGCCACTTAATCCCCATATTTATTCATCACATGAACGTGAAAACTACTCCAGGGTTTCATGATCTAATGCAGTGCTGAATGTAATCGCATTGTTTTTGTTCACTTGGGTGATTGTTTTTGCAAGGCAAAAATCAGGAAGTAGAATTGCTGGCTCAAAAAGCTCGAGAGCTTTAGGGTATATGAGATTGCTCAGCAGATAAAGGCACTTGCTGTTAAGCTTGGTAGCCTGAGTTCAGTCCTTGGAACCCACATGGTAGAAGGAGAGAACTGAACACAGCAAGTTATCCTCTGACTTATGCACACACGCACACACACTGAATGAATGTAATGCAAAAGTTTTGAAAGAGCTTAAGTATTTTAAAAGTTAGCAGAAGTTATTCTCAGAGACATTGTCTTTATCTACACACCTAGCTATGAGTTTGAGTAAACATCCCTTTTAATTTTAATATAATTCAATCTAATTCTAGGGGCGACACAGGAATATTGGAATCTACACTGAAAAGACAGCAATCATGTGGGAAAGGCCTACATAACCACAAGAAAGGTTAAGAAAAGGAAGTGAAGGGCCATTTGAGCATTACTGCCCTTCAATACGGAAAAAAACTAACTGCAGTATGAACTCCAAGTGACAGAGACACGTTTCTTAATTGGCTTACACGGAAAACGAATGCCTGAACTAACTGAGCATGGCCTATAGAGGAGGTGGGCATGGCCAGCCTCCCTCACTGATGCCTTCCCAGCTTATCCCTCCACGTCTTTCCGCCAACAGGAGCCCCACACATAATATATGCACGGTGTCGGACTTCTTCTACCCAAACGTGGGAGGTGTGGAAAGCCACATTTACCAGCTCTCTCAGTGCCTCATTGAGAGGGGGCACAAGGTCATAATTGTCACCCATGCTTATGGAAATCGAAAGGGCATCCGTTACCTCACCAATGGCCTCAAAGTTTATTACTTGCCTCTCAGAGTCATGTACAACCAATCTACAGCCACGACTCTCTTTCACAGTCTGCCATTGCTCAGGTACATATTTGTTCGGGAGAGAGTTACAATCGTCCATTCTCACAGTTCTTTTTCTGTCATGGCCCATGATGCTCTCTTCCATGCTAAGACAATGGGGCTTCAGACAGTCTTCACAGACCATTCCCTTTTTGGATTTGCTGATGTCAGCTCGGTGCTTACAAACAAGCTTCTAACTGTGTCTCTTTGTGACACAAACCACATCATTTGTGTCTCCTACACAAGTAAGGAAAACACTGTACTAAGAGCAGCACTGAATCCTGAAAGAGTGTCCGTCATTCCTAATGCTGTAGATCCTACCGACTTTACCCCAGGACCACTTAAGAGAGATGGCAGCGTAATAACTATTGCTGTCATCAGCAGACTCATTTACAGAAAAGGGATCGATCTGCTCAGTGGTATAATCCCTGAACTCTGTCAGAAATATCCTGAGCTAACTTTCTTAATTGGAGGAGCGGGACCAAAGAGTATCATTTTGGAAGAAGTACGGGAAAGATACCAACTACATAACAGGGTGCATCTTCTGGGAGCTTTAGAACACAAGGATGTCAGAAATGTCTTAATTCAAGGACATATTTTTCTTAACACCTCCCTGACTGAAGCCTTCTGCATGGCGATACTAGAAGCCGCCAGCTGTGGTCTACAGGTCGTCAGCACGAAGGTTGGCGGGATTCCTGAAGTCCTCCCAGAGAACCTTATTATTTTATGTGAGCCTTCGATCAAATCTTTGTGTGAAGGGCTGGAAAAAGCTATTTTCCAAGTGAAGTCGGGGACACTGCCAGCTCCAGAAAACATCCACAATGTAGTGAAGGCTTTCTACACCTGGCGGAACGTTGCAGAGAGAACCGAGAAGGTGTATGAGAGGGTGGCGAATGAAACTGCGCCGCCGATGCACAAGAGGCTGAAAAGGCTCACCGCTCACTGTGGCCCGGTGACAGGCCACATTTTTGCTTTGCTGGCTGTGTTCAGCTATCTCTTCCTCATGTTCCTGAGATGGGTAACTCCTGATTCTGTCATTGATGAGGCAATAGATGCCACTGGGCCAAAGGGAGCCTGGATCCATGACTATCCTCATCATACAAAAGATGACATTGATGAGGTATCCGATAGCAGGTAGAAGAGCCTGAATTGTAAACTTTAGACAGTTCTTAGACAGTTGAAAACAACCTTGTTCTTTTGTTTTGAGGCGTCAAAGTTAATTTGATAAATTACGCAACCTCCATAGTGTTCACTGTTTCATTAAGGGAAACTAAACACACACACAATTCCTGAGCACGGAAGCCCTTCACACGTCTTAAATTTTAGGGAGAATAGTTTGGCCACTCAGGTGTGAAAGTTTCAGATTACTGAAAGCCCTCCAATGGAGATGTTTTAATATTATGTTTTGGGAGCTTGGTCGCTGGGTCCTTTTTGGCCAGTTTTAAATTACACCACCAATTTGACACCCGGCAGGCACTTGCAAGCTTTCTGTAGGGAGATACAGCTACATGAACTATTTTAAATCATGTTCATGGCTGTTGTACCTTAATTGGACCCTGAGACCACACTCTTACACATGGGTCCACTCAGTAAGTGTACCAGACAATCTGAGTAAGTTGCCAGCATGTTTTGAGCACCAACTCTGTTTGAAATGGTGAACTAGGTGGTGCCTGCCACTAAGGGCTAGTTCACGGGAAGAAACAGCTGTCTAGTATGCCCCAAATGCTCAAGCTATTTGAGAAAAATGCCACCATCACATACTCCAAGTACATCTTCAATCCTGCCATATGTGTTCTCATCATACATCATCCTGTGTATATGAAGAGACTTTCTTTTCAAGTTCTAGGGCCTGTTACCACTGTTGATGGTAGTATAGGCAAACCCTCTGCTTAAAAAAAAAAATCTTGTGCGTGTATGACACGTCTGTAGGGTGGAACAATGTGTTTCTGTATCCTGACCTTGATTATAATTGTCAGAGTATGTGGAAACAGACTGCTCTATACTGTTCCTATTCTAATTATTTGAAATTGTTGAGTAATTTTCTAAGATTGTATTGCTTTTGATGTTATAGTCACACTCATAAATTGGGGCTGTTAAAACATGCTTATGACCAAAAATAAAGGTGAGATTGACATTTTAAATAAACAAACAAAAACCTAATTGTTTCCTTTTTTTAAATCACATTTATTTAGAGTGTGTATGCGTGGTTGCATGCTTGCTATAGAGCATATACAAGGTCAGAGGACAACTTGTTGGAGTCTTTTCTTGTGGGTCCCCGACACTGAACTCAGGAGATCAGGTGCCGTTAGCCACTGAGCCACCACCAGAACCTAACAGAGGTTTTAATGGGCACTTTTCTATAGACTAGTAAGACTGGTATTTTCATCCTTTGATATTTAAATTGCTTGTGTATCCTGTCTTCTATTTTTTTTCTTATTAACGGAATTCCTTTACTGCTTTATAACCCGCCTGAAAGACTGCCTCTAGGGCACTCATAGGAATGTCCTTATGAAGGTAGTGCTATTCACTAGGAGTATGGGGGTACACCTGCTGCTTTTTTTTTTTTTTTTAAATTGACAAAGTAGTACTCTGAAAATCTGGGCCAAACTTTCAACAGTAAGAGATGCTTGCATGTGTGAGTTGAGCAGATCTGAGCTCAGCATAGTAGGCCAAAGGTTTTGGCAGAATGCTAATTGCTGCTGACAAACAGGTTGGGCCTGGTGACACGACGACCTTAGCATAAACAAACTAAAGTGATGAGGTACTGAGACAGTGAACAGAAGGGCATGTACCTGCCTAATTCCCACTGCTTGGTGCTCATTATGCTCTCAGCCCAGCCTCGACCCTGCTTACAGACAGTTAAAATGCCTTGTATTTACTTTCTTTTGCTTCATCTATAATCTCTTCTTCCCTCCTCTGTTTTGTGTTTTCTCCTGTTTATTCAATCCCAACCACAAAGCAAGGCCAAGACTCAGCAATGCACCTGAACTATATACTTTTTAAATAAATGAAGGGAAAATGTAAACCATCTCTCTTTTTATCAAAATAAAAAACTATTTTGGGGGGAGGGGAGAGGTCATTTTTAATTTGAAAGACTGTGACTCTCCCAGGGGACAATGTGTTTTAGAAATGTGTTTTAATCCTTTTGTTCTGTCTCCAGATACATAGAAGCTGTACTTGATCCTAAATTCAGTTCCAAATGAGGAAAGCCATTTTTTTTTTTTTGGGTTAGCAAGATATTATTCTGAGTTTTGTTTTTCCTTTTTCATATTGAAGCTAAGGATCCGATTTTCAGCAGTCTGTCCTAACAGCAGTGAGCCACAAAGGGAACTCAGCGGAACCAAAGATACACTTCACCTGAGAGGTTTTATAAAGTGCTGGGTTAGAAACAACTCCTTTTTTTTTTTTTTTTTTTTTTTTTTTTTTTTAATGAAAAGATCAGAAAGCTTTTATGACTCTTTTTTTAATCTCTGGTTTCTACAGCCTGTTCACCATACCACCTTGGCTTCAAATGTTAAAAAGCTCCTAATAGACCATTTTTTTTCTCCTTTGACTAAACAACCTTACAGCTTTGGGATCACAACTGGGATGTGCCCTGTGGAATCACCTGTTAGCCAATCTCTTTTTACGTGGGTGAGAGAATAGCACAGGGGAAGGCCCCCAAACAAAACGAGCCATGAAAACCAGCTTTTGCCTTCAACAATACAAACAGACAGACAGACAGACAGACAGAAGATAAAAGCAAAACAACTTCTGCCCCAAGCTTAAGTTCTAATTGCAGTTAATTTCCTAAAGAATCCTTTTGGAAAGACCTGGTTCTAGGTCATGGCATCTGCTGCTATTGGCTCCCCTACTTACCGGATTGCTGTTTCAGCTGCTCTTTTTGGATTGCTGCAAACTGCTTGGCATCAGCCAGGGAGCCAAAAAGAGCAGCAAAGGGGTTACTTGAGATGTTGTTGTTATTCTCCTGGTCTGTCATTTCACTTTAAGGTATTCTCCATCCAGCTCTAGGGGTAGGGGCTATGCAAAGGACAGGAATTAGACTCAGATGGGCAGATAACACAATCACTATAATATACCCATCATTGTTTCTTTTCCCATTTCTTGAACATTACACATTCAAAAATGCTTTGGAGTGAGATGTGCCAATTCCTGTTCCCAAACTCAAGACATATTTGGCAAGATGGTTGCAAACCTACCAACTGGACACAGCTAAAATTCAAAAGGCTTAACAGTCAGTGACTCCACTGATTGGCTGCCATGTTTCCAGGCTATACAGTGAGACTCTGTCCCATTTTAACAGAAGAAAAATATCAAACAAATAATGTTTAGGTTTTAGTTGAAAAGGGGTCTGTAGTCAGTCTGCCTGCCTATCTATCTATCTATCTATCTATCTATCTATCTATCTATCTATCTATCCATCTATCTTATGTGTATGGGTGTTTTGCCTGCACATATGTCTGTGTACCATATGCATGCCTGGTGCCTGTGGAGGACAGAAGAAGGCATCAGATGCCTGGGAATGGAATTATACATAGTAGAGAGCTGTCATGTGGGTTGGCCTTGAATTCATGATCCTCCTGCCTCAGCCTTCAGAGTACTGGGGTTACTGGCATTCATCATGTCTGCCTAGTCTTTGTTTGATGCTATACTAATTTTTACTGCTTATTGAACTTTTTTTATATTTAAGAAACAAATTCAACTGTTAGGTAGACTGTCTAACATAAAACAGATATAACAGCTCAACGATGAGGGAACAAAGACAGAAAGAAGGGCATTTGATCTACCTTTAGTTAATTAGTCAATTAGGGTATGTGTTTTGAGACAGGGCCACACTATAAAGCTAATACAAGTTGTAAAGGTTACCCTTAAGTACTCAGGAGGAAAAGAGTTTATATCACTTCTTGGCACTTCTGAGATACTTCCATCAGTCACTTCATGGCCTCTGCTATTTTTCCTGCATAAGAGCTAAAGGCTAATCAGCCACAGTGACAGCCAGCCAGGCTAGTCTCCTGTCACGATGGTACAGGGCTTTCCTACTCCAGGGATATGGACTGTTAGATGATGTTTCATGTTTTTCTTTTTGCCATGTATATTTAGTTGAGTTTAATAAAAAAATATTTTTATGTTGGAATTAACAGTCCTTGAGAAAACTTTCATTATGTAACCAGTGGATAAGCTTAACTCACTTTTAGTTCATGTGATGCCATCCTGAACTGTCTAACTGTTGGCAGACTACCAGTGTTCCCCCTACCCGAAGGTATCTTGAATTCTACAAGATGGCAGGAAATATAGTGAGTTCTTGTTATTTTGTCTCTGGAATATTATCACCTCTTCCCTCAATGTGACAGCCCTGGGTTTATCCTGAGTATTAATTCCATTAAAGATGTATGTGCAGATGTGTTGATCTCGTCTACCTTCTCCAGGAAGGAACACAGATTACAAAGCAACAGGTCCAGGAGTGGGCAAAAGACGCTATCAAGTCTTACAGGAATCAGCAAACATTGTCTTTGGACTTTTGGCAGGATCTATAGAGAAGGGAACTCTTTCTTCTTGAGTTGCTAGGTTAGTAAAATGAATACCTAAAGTTGCCACCTTTACACCATCTAAAAACGCCTACCTACCCCCAAATTAAGCTACACAAAGGGAAACAGAATTCTCCAGACTTCCAAATATTAAATTCAACAAATTCCCTAAGCTAAGTTTCAAGTCTGTGTGTGTGTGTGTGTGTGAGGTATAAGTGTGTGGCACACATGTATGCAGGCAGATTCCATAACTACATAAGCCAGTGAGAAGTGTGCATGCTTGTGTGACACAGATGTGTGGCATATATGTATGCAGGTTATGGAGGCCAATGGAGGAGGCTGGGGGTCCTGCTCTAGCACTTTCCTTATTCCCTTGAGACAGGATCTCTTACTGAACCTGGAGCAAAGATGACAGCAAGCAAGCACTACCAACCCTCCTGTCTCCACTCTCTACAGGGCTAGAGTTACAAGTGTACACGTGGACACATCTAGCTCTTTACATGGGTGTCGAGGATTTGAACTCAGGTCTTCATGTTTGCACATCAATAGCTTTTACCCACCCACTAAGTCATCACCCCCCCACCCCCTTAAAAGCATGGTATCCTGTGTAGCC